GGATCTAGTAACCTTAATGTTGCTTGTCTTTTCTTTGGCTCAGGTTAACTTTCTGGTTGTCCAACACTGTCATGTTGCGAGAGATCATTTCACAGGAATTTGGTAGCACATATTTAAATGGATCTAAATCGCTTGAAGAAGACTGGACAGATTCAAGAACTCTGATAGAGGCATTAAGAAGAGTTGAATCATGTTTATTCACACAAGCTGTTGGATCCATATGGTCACAYGTAAAAAAACCATGGATTATCCTTTCTTGAAAGCAAGATGCATATATTAAATGGCTTTAGATTCTCACTCCTTCAATTAGGTAATGATGGTTCATATGAGACCTGAAGGTGATGACTCGACGATGGGCGAAAATGTCGGACATTTTTCAGAACCAGCAACATGTGATCAGCTACAAGAGAGCTTTTCTGTCAACCTATGGAAAAAAGCTTTTGAGGAGGCTATTCAAATGCTCTGTCCTGTTCAAGCCGCAAAGCGTAAATGTGGTTGTGTGCATGTGTTGACCAGAATGGTAAACTCTCTTCTTCAAGGAGAATGGTGTGTGCTTCTGGACTGAAACTGATATGTTCTGTCTTATTAGGTCATGGAGCAATGCATTGTAAGACTTGATGTGGCTATGTTCAATGCTATTCTCCGTGAGTCGGCTCATCAGATACCAACTGATCTTGACTCTGATCCCATTGGTGACCCAAGAGTTCTTCCAATTCCAGCAGGGGTTTTGAGCTTTGAATCTGGAGTAAAACTAAAAAACACGGTATTCATGTTCATTTGAAGTTGTACATGTTACATTTTCACAGCTTACTACTTTGCCAATGTTTTTCCTTCGAAGACAGTTGTAGAACTTTGTAGCTTGAAACTCTAGTGACACGAGTAACGAGTCATGTAACGTTTATACAGGTTAGCTATTGGTCGAGATTGCTTACAGACATCTTTGAGATCGATGCTGATCATTCTCCGAAAACGGAGCAACATATGCAAAGAGGAGATGCAGTATTTAAACCTTTCCAGTTGCTCAATGAACTGAGCGATCTCCTTATGCTTCCAAAAGAAATGCTAGTGGACAGTTCCACCAGAGATGAGGTATGTATGTTTCATGATTAAGTACTGCTTATTAACACTGTGAAGCTGTGATCTTTTATAGTCACTTGGTTTCATCGAGCTTCCGGTGTAATACTTCTTGTGTTTCACAGGTCTGCCCATCAATTGGCCTGAGTTTAGTAAAAAGGATATTATGCAATTTCACTCCAGATGAATTCTGCCCATACCCTGTCCCAGGAACTGTTCTTGAGGAACTCAATGCGCAGGTTGATCTACATTTTTCAATCCTTCAGTGAATACGTACGAAGTAAAGTTCTCTTACTAAAACTAGTTGTTTCTCTCTCCAGAATATACTTGAGAGTAGAAGAAACTCATCTACAGATGTAACTAGAAGGTTTCCACGACAAGTAAATCCAGTTCAATATAGTCGTCCTTCTTGTACTCACTTGACAGACATGGTTGCAGAGTTCAGTGACAAACTTAAGGTTTCTATGACACAAAACAAAGGATACATTAGCAACGAAGAGGTGGAAACATCAAGATCTCCTCCATATTACAGCATCAATAAAGGGCTTAAAGAAAAGAACAACCTTAGTTTCTCTCCGACTAACGAAAGATACAGACTCCTTGGAGAAACCTAAACCTGGCTTGTTTGACCAAAAGACTCCAAGCTCATCACTCAAAACCCATTGTTTATTGTCCTTGAACAACACCAATGTACATTCATACATAACTCTCACACTCCAGAAACAAAACATACCATTTTGCACTTTGACCATTCAAATAAAATCTTCATTTTTGAGTAAAAACCAGAGCTAAGAAATGGTCTCTCTTGGTTTATTGTTTATGCGGAAACTGGAAGGTTTTCAGTAGAAGCTGAGACAGAAGAGCTTATACCCTCAAGCGCTTTAATAACTTGAAGCAATGAAGGTCGTTTCTCTGCAACAACGGCGATGCAATTG